GCTGGGTACGTAATTTTTGGTTGGAAATTTTTCTCTTTCAGTGTTTTACATATACCATCCCATTGTCTTCTCGCCTGCATGGTTTCTGTCGAGGAATCTGAGCTTAGTCTTATTGGTTACCCCTTGCACATAATGTTTTGTTTTTCCTGTGCTGCTCTCATGATTCTTTCTCTGTCTTTGGTTTTGGTAACTCTGATGATGATATGTCTGGGTGATTTTCTTTTGGGGTCTATCCTGTTTGGGGTTTGTTGGACTTCCTGAATGGATATATTCTCATCTTTCATCATACCAGGAAAATTCTCTTTCAACAAATCTTGTACAATTTTCTCTGTGGTTTTATTTGTCTCTTCCTGTTCTGGAGTTCTCATGACACGTAGGTTATTCCTTTTGATGGTATCCCACATGAACCTGAGGCTTTCTTCATTTTGTTTTGATCTTTTTTCTGATTGATCCCTTTCCAAAGATGTATTCAGGTGTTTGCCTTCAGTCTCCCTAATTTTGTCTTCCATTGATTCATTTCTGCTCCTTTGCCCATTCAGTGTCTTACCTATTTCTGAAAATTTAGTATTAATCTTCTGGATTTCTGTGTGTAGATTTTGTAAAATTTCTAATTTTTCATTTATTTTGTCATTTTATTCTTGTATTGTCTTTTGAAATTGTTGTAGGGTTTTCTCTGATCTGTCTCAATTTGTTGAAGATACCTAAATCTAATTCTTTTGAATTCTTATCAGGGAATTCCAATGATGTGTCTTCCTCAGGGATGTGTTTTGGGTCTGTATCCTGGTCTCTTGTTTCCCCTGCTTTATCTTGCTTCTTTGTGTGAACTGTGATGCTCTGTTGTGTCCAAGGCATTGTGACGTTTTTGTGTTTATATTTAATTGGTCATTGTATGTTGTTGGAATGACTTGCCTATGATTTTTGTTTTCTTTGTATGTTGTCTATGCAAGCAGGGTGCTGTGCTGTGCTCCTCTGTTCGCTAGCTAGCAGCACTTATACACTCACCATCTGTCTCCTTTCTTGTTGTCAGCCTCTCATATGTCCCTGCCAACCTTGGCAAACAGAGACTATTTTTAGGTCCCTGGAATCTGAATGAGAATGCTATCACTTTAAATATCCAAAATGGCCGCTACTTGTAAGCATTCAAAATGGCTGTGCCCTCGGTCACTTTAAATATCCAAAATGGCCGCTGTTTGTAAACAATCAGTATGGCTGCGCCCTCTGGACGGTGGAAAGTCAACAGTTCAGATTGTCTCCCTCCTTGCTGTTTCCCTTCCTAGTCATAGGCCACCAACGCAGTTGTCCCTACAGCCCTTGGTGACCAGGGCTGATCTTTAGGACAATTTTCAGGTTCCAACACCACTTGGAAACATTCAGGCTATTGGTCCCATCAGAGTAGCTGACAGTCCACAGCTCTGACTGTCTCTGTTCTCACTGTTTTTCTTCAGGTTTTTCCATTAGTTGGTGCCTAATCCACTTCTGTATAGTTCCTTTACTCAGGGCTGCAGGATTATATTCTGTATCTCTGTCAATTGATTTTTCTTTTCTTTGTTGAAGAGGTTCTGTGTTGCTTCTCTGCCTAATCCTCCATTTTACCAGAGGACAAGATGTTTTTATAAAACTTCCAGAACTATTATGTGCCCCATTTTGGTCCATGTAGGCCATTGTAGGAAGACTCAGCAAACAGTATACTGAAACAAGTGATTATTCCCTTTATGGTATAGGGCTATGTGAGTCCTATAAGAGAACACAGGTGGCTAAACAGAATTAAGGTTGAATTTTGTAGATATCCTTCGGTCAGGGTGCCACTTGGAGGGTAGACCAACTAATTTCCCTATTAGGGGAAAGAAAGAAGCATTATGCTGAGAATGATCGGAGCAATATTCTGGATTTTCAAAATGGATGATAAAGCTTCTTACCTGTATTATTTGTATGTTTTCTTTATGCTGTGTTTCTGGTGTACAGATTGTTTTGAAAATACTAAATGATGTAGTTGATTTTGTCAGTTTCCCATTAGTTGCTCCTTTTTGGGTCTTGTTTAATAAATCCTATTCCTTATAGTCATCTAAAGAATTTATTAGTTTTACATTTTACTTCTAAAGCTTGAATCCCAAGAATTTAATTTTGTATATGATATGATGTTGGCATCCCATTTTAATTTTGTCCGTGTGGATAATTAGCTATTATAGTACCATTCTTTATGATCTGCAGTACCAGCTCTTTCTAAATCAAGTTTTCATATATGTGTTTTCTATTTCTATTCTATTTCACTGTCTGCTGGTCACCAAATTGTATTAATTACTAAAGTTTTATATTTCTAGCTGATTGAATGAGTCTTCCAACCTTGTTCTTCTTCAAGGTTGTCTTTGCTACTCATTGGGCCTTTGGGTATCTTATTACATTTTAAAATCTGTTTGTCAGGTTACACACACACACCTTTTCATGATTTTGATCAGAATTGTATTAAATCTATAAGCAATTTGGAGAGACTGCTATCTTTAAAATATTGAATCTTCCATAGTATTGTATTTAAGCTTATCTCTTTTCTTAAGGCATCTCCTCTTAAAAATACAGTAACCAGTATAGAAACATGGAAACTTGACCTCTCCTCACATCATAAAGAAAGATTAATTCGAGGTGGACCATAAACCTCAATATAAAAGTTAAAGCCATAAAACTAGGAGAATATCTTTATGACATTAGAGAAGGAAAAGATTACTTAGGACATAGAAAGCATGAATCATTAAAATAAACTGTTTGATAAATTACTGGATTTCATCAAAATTTTAAGACTTTTGCTCATCCACATGGAGCCATGCTGGCACAGTGGGTAGGTGCTGAGCTCGAACTTACCAGTTGCTCTGGGAGAAAAGTGAGGCAGTCTGCTTTTGTAAATATTTACAGTCTTGAAACCCTGTGGGACAGTTCTACTGTGTCCTTTAGGGTTGTCATGAGTAGGAATTGACTTGTTGGCAATGAGTTTGGCTTTGCTTTACTTACCAAAAGACATCATTAGAAAAATAGGCATACAACAGACTAGGAATAAGTATGTGCAGTGCATATATCTGACAATGGAGATAAACAACTCATTTGAAAACTGGACAAAAAACTTGAATAGATACTTCACAAAAGATAACATAAAATGACCAATAAGCACATGAAAAGTGCTCAACTTTATTAGTCATCAAAATGCAAATCAAAACCACAGTGAGATACCACTACTTACCCACTAGAGTGACTAAAATGGAAAAAAAGAAAACAATACCAAATGTTGGGAAAGATGTGAAGCAACCAGAACTCTCACTTGTATAACCACTTTGGAAAACAGTTTCTTTAAATGTTAAACACACTGTAGTTTTATACTTAGATATTTATCCAAGAGAAAAGAAAACCATTCCCTGGAGAAGGATGTCATGCTTGGTAGGGTGGAGGGTCGACGAAAGAGGGGAAGGCCTTCAAGGAGATGGATTGATATGGTGGCTGCGATGATGGGCTCAAGTATAGCAGGGATTGTGGGGCTGGCGCGGGATCGGGCAGTGTTTCGTTCTGCTGTGCATGGGGTTGCTATGAGTTGGAAATGACTCGACAGCACTTAACAACAACAAGAATGTTTGTTGCATCTTTGTTCATAGTAATAAAAAAATGGAAACAACTCATGCCGTCAACAGCAGACTTACAGAGTAATGTGATAACAATAACAAAAAAGCAAACTATTGATATATCCAACAACATGGGTGAATCTCATAAACATTAAGCTGAGCAAAAAATGCAGACACAAAAATTATGTAATGTATGATTACATTTATATGAAATTCTAGAATAGTCAAAAGTAAACTGTGATAATTAAATTTAGATCAGTGGTTTCTTTGAGGGGTGAGAGTTGATTGGGGTAGATGAGGGAACTTTGTAGAATGATGGGAATTTTCTGAGAGTTGATGGGGTGTAGATTACTTAAACTTATGCATAAACATGAGTATGTACACTTGTTAAAACTGATTGAATAGTGCACTTAAGATCGGGGCATTTCACTTTATGTAAACTATACCTCAATTTTAAAAAGTGTGATACACTACACTCTGGTTTGTTAATAGGAATAAATCTCTAGAGTTGTTAAAAATCAGTAGGTTAGAGAATTTTTATGCTACTCCTTCATGGTATTCTTTAGGAGTTAAGGAGGTAGAATATTTTCCTAAATGCTATATTTACCTTGAACTTTTTAGTCAGGTGTAGAGTCTGAGAAACTTTTTTAGGATTTAGAGTTCAAGTGTAGTTGACCTGTGTTTATAAAGTTGGAAAAGGTAATCTTTACAAATGTCAGCTGGTTCTTCAGAACCTCACACACCAAGTTTGTACTTCTGATAACCATATTCCAGACCAGTGGTTCTCAACCAGGGAAGACTTTGTCCTCAGAGAAAATTTGGCAGTATCTGGAGATATTTTCGATTGTCATACCTTATAGGTGGTAGTGCTACTGGCATCTAGTGAGTAGAGACAAGGGATGATGGTAGACCCCCTACAATACACAGGACAGCCCTCAACAAACAATTATCTGTTCCAAAATGTCACTAGTGCCAACAGTGAAAAACCCTGTCTAGACCCACCCTTATCACTGAATCTTAGTCAGTCTTAGTTAGTCAGGTATTGAGTGTACTCATAGTCCAAATCCATTGTGGAAACTCGTTATTTTCACAGATTATATATTTCTTTCCTGACAGATTTTAATATCAAATACTTGTAAATGTACATATTTTTAATTTTTGAGGTAAAGATTTACATGTTAAAAACATGTTCAAAATCATGTCCAAATATATAAAATATATAGTAATATATTTTTGCTAGTTATTGTTCAATTCTGGAGATGCTGTGTTTTGTTCTTTATTATATTTCATTACATATCTAAACAAATGACCTTAATTAATCTTCTTTAAAAAAATAAAATGGTCTTATTATCAGATTAGAGGAAATAAATGGTAGTAATTTATCTTTTTATTTTTTCTCCATAGACTAACGGGAAGAGAATTTTTCTCTCGTTTCCCAGAACTCTACCCTTTTCTGCTTAAGCAGTTGGAAGCTGTAGCCAATACTGTGGACAGGTAAGGCATGAATAGAGTGGTGTCAAATGAAATCAAGGATGTGAATTACTTTAATGAAAGGTTTTCTCCAGGAAACAGTTGTTAAATCGACTCCTTCCTTGTAACATGATGGATTAAAATAAGAAATTCTTAATACATCATGTTGCTTAGCTTTCTGTGGTAGATTTGTACCTGAAAAGTGTAAAAGTCCTGTTTTATCTATTTTAATTCTGTTTTTGGTGTCATAATAACCCACCAACTAAATCCACTGCCATCGAATTGATTCTGACTTGTAATGGCCCTATAGAATAGAGTAGAACTGCCCCACAGGGTTTCCAAGGCTATAAATCTTTGTGGAAACAGACTGCTTCATCTTTCTCCCCTGGGGTAACTGGTGGTTTCAAACCACTGACTTTTTGTTAACAGCCCAATGTTTAATACCATCAGAGCTCCTTTCAGTGTTGTACAGAAGTAGCTTTTTAGAATCACATGGTTATTTCTTTAGTTAGAAATTATTTTCTTGCTCTTATATTTTTAATGTATAGGTTTACATATTGAGTTTGCTTAATGCATACCTGTTTTTTCCCTCTGATTTCCCTCTGACCTGTTACAGCTGACTGCTGTGAAACTACAGTACTTAACAGATTAATCTGGTCACTTATAATCAGAAATGATACTGGTTTACCTGAGCAAGAATCGCTAGTGACTCTGGATGCACAATGAAAGCCATTAAGAGAGCCTCCTGTCTGATCAGGGCATTTAGAAAAGTTCACTGTTGTTCTCTTACTGTATGGACATCTTAGAACACGTACTTTTGTATTCTTCCAGCAATTTTTGCTCTTGGTATGCATTTAAACCAATTGTCTATGATAGGAAAATAAAATTATTTCAATGAATTTTACTCTTGTTTATGATACATTTCCTCACATTAGTACCTTGTACAGGCAGAGTTTTCTGGCCCTAGTAAGTGACAAGTCCATTGGGGTGGTTAAAGCGTCACTTTGTAAGAGGTACTGCTCTACTATATGGACAACTGTAATAAGTTGTAATAATAAAACAGAAATCTCTAGTTAAAGATGAGCATTAGAATATTCTGTGCAAAAGCTCAATCCATGGCTTTGCTAATAGTTCTTTCCATGCTATGAACATTAGGTAGATAGGAAATTAATTGAGAAAAAGAAAAGAAAAAAAAAACAAAAAAAAAAACTAACGCTTGATCATAGAGAGTCTCACTTCATATGGATTGGTGATTAAAAGTAATTGAAGATATGGCCTTATCTCTTAAATTTTAAGTGTTTTATGTTTAATATCTTTTCTTTCTGTTCAGTGATACAGGGGAACTCAACCGTCATCCAAACATGTTTCTCCTGCTTTTGGTGTTGGGAAGACTGTACCCTTCTCCAATGGATGGCACTTCCTCTGCTCTCAGCATGGCACCTTTTGTCCCCTTCATTATGAGGTAGTATGCTTCATGGAAATAGTGGGGGGGTGTGGAACTCTGTGGAAGAATTTTATCTTATTCTTATCTCAGAAATTATTGTTATTTATTTATTTTTTGTAAACTTTGGGGGGGGGGGCTTTTGTGAAGGCAGAGGCCTGGGGCTCACTGCCCCTGACTGGTCTTCAGTGTTTCAGAGGAAGATGCTCATATTGTGGGTGTAGAAGCTCAATAGGAGCTGTATAGGCCATGTTTCTTTGGACCCCTGCCTATTAGTAGATGTTCGGTATTGATAGGGAATGCCCCCTTTTGTAAAACATTGCCTGGGTATTGGCACTCATATATATCCCCTTTCCGGGATTTAGGAAGACATCTGGCTTTTCACTCCAGAGTAGTCTGCTAGTGGGCACAAGAGGTATCATGTTCGATGGCAGTTCTGTGTGGCACTAGGTCATTACCCATTCATTTTCTCTTTCAATTTTGGAGCACCTGAGAATGAGCCATGAATACAAATTACACATGAGCTATAAATAATAATAGGTTCCTTCCACTAACCAAAAGGCTGGCAGTTCAAACCCACTAGCCACTCCTTGGAAGGAAGATTGGGCAATCTACTCCCGTAGAGATACTGCCTTGGAAACCCATGGAAGGGTTGCTATGAGTCAGATTTGACTTGACCACAGTGAGTTTGGTTTTTGGAATTTAAGTAGCACTCGTGGTGCAATGGTTAAAGCGTTTGGCTGCTAACCAAAAGGTCAGTGGCTTGACCCTACCAGCTGCTCTGCGTAAGAAAGATGAGGCAGTCTGCATCTGTAAAGATTTATAGCCTTGGAAACCCAGTGGGGGGTCACTATGAGTTGGAATTGACTTGATGGCATTTGAGGTTTTTTTTTTTTTTTTTTTTTCCCTTGGTTTCCTTCTTCTAGAGCCTAGAATTACCTTTGTACATTTTTGAGTCATCTCCCAACCTCTCATCACCTTTGTCATTTTGGATCAAAAGTCTCAAAAAACAGATCTCTCAAATGTAATGAAAATTTCTTATAAATCATTTCAGAAGCCCTGTTGTATTAGTTAGTTTTTACCTTTTTGCTTACCTCTTGACAGAACAGCACCTTCATTTTTATATATTTCCAAAAATTGAAATGGAGTGGCAGCAGAAGGGTAAGAATACCAACCTCGAGAAAGTGTGTTTGTTATTTTTGTGGTGTCCTGGGTTCCACTTCCTGGTTTCACAGAGCTGACTTATGCATTTTAATGTGAGAAACCATTAAACACAAGATTCTAGCATGTGATTTCTGTAGCCATTTGTTTGCGCCAAGCCCTGGCTGTGGCTGTGTTATCTGTGATCACAGAGATGACTCATTGAGTCGACTGGTTTTCATTTCCTGATACGCAGTTAACAGTCTCCTTCATCCAGCATTTGGTAATTCATTTTAGGAATTTTGGTGGTAAATTATACTTTCAGGGGCATTGAAAAATTGTGCTTTCATATATAACTGGAAAGAACTAAGAAATGTTTCAGAAAGTTGTTGCAAGGGGGACAGCCATGTGCACAGAGTCACAGTGTACTTTAGAAACAAAGATAAGCTTTAGAACCTTGTCATCCTGTGTTGAGAACATTCAATTTGTGGAAGCTTTATTACTAATCATTCTGTTACTTGTTGTATCCTAGAAACCAGAAATTACTAAACTGAAAATATCCTTCCAAACTATTATTATTATATTGAAAGCATCTATTCCATATTACATACAATAATAAAGATTGTATTAATATATATATACATATATGTATATATATGTGTGTGTGTGTGTGTGTGTGTGTGTGTGTGTTAAAAAAAAAAAAAACCAAACTCACTGCCATTGAGTTGATTCGACTCACAGTGACCCCTCCTTGGGTTTCCAAGACAGTATCTCTGTGGAAGGAGATTGCCCAGTTTTCCTTCCAAGGAGTGGCTGGTGGGTTTGAGCTGTCAGCAGTCAAATGCCTTAGACATCTTTCCAGTGTACCTAGTGCATTTTTTTTTCAAACCCAGAAGGCACAAAGCAACAAGTACAATTATCCTCTCCTTCCAGTGAAAATGCCTGGCATAGTAGTTGCTTTCTACCTGAATAAAGATTCATAGAACACCAGCAATGGCAGAAATGCCACAATTGATTCTTGAGTTAGAGTCAGTAGGCTCTGATTTATTGTGTACCTGTGAGTATTGTATTATAGAACAGTGCTTCTCAAGATGTGATGTGTAAACATATCACTTGGGGGATTTGGAAATCTCATTCCATAGGTGGGGTAAGGCCTAAGATTCTGTTTTTCAAACAAACTTCTAGGTCATGTTGATGATGCTGGTCTTGAACAACAAGATTAAAGATACCTGAGAGAGAAAGACCCTTCAGGAATTTATAATATAACTTGGTATATTAAACTTATGTAAGAAATAGCCAATGATCATCATTAGAATCTTGATACAGATGATTTTAGCAAACTAGAAAATAGTGGCTCATACTTGGTGAGGCTGTTTTGATGGATTATAGAAAGTGGATTTTGACCCAGGACTGAGAGAAGAGGCAAGGAAGTTTTCTGAGCAGAGAGTTTGGTAGGAAGTAGATCAACCTTTGTTGACCCTTGACTTTTGCCAGACACTGAACTGGGCATTTTTCTTACAATGACTCAGAGGCAGATGCGATAACTCCCATTTTACTAGTGAGGAAATTGAGATTCAGAGGACAAGCCAGTTACCAAGCTGCAATTTGAATCCAAGAATGTTGGGATTGTGAAGGGCCTTAGATGTGGTCTATACTACTACTATAACCAGCTCTCTTTTGTATAGCTGAGCACTTTAGCTACACTGAGTGTGCCCATGTGGCCTGAAATTACCTAACTAGGAGATGAAGAACCTATATCCACAGTCATTGCATATGATTACATGCTGTTTTCAAGATACAGAAGTTTTATCCTCACCAGCAGTGAGATATGTTCCTTACTTTGCCTTTCCAGTAGTGAGAGTGGCTTAGGGCACACCTGTGGAGACACACTTCACATGAACTTACAATGTGAGCTGTATCACAAGCTCACATTTGTGATGCAGTTGCCTGGGGTCATGGAGCTGGTCTGTGGCAAGTACAGAGGAAGCTTGACTCTTCATTACCACCTTCTGTAGTGAAGTGGAAGGACCTTGAATTTAGTTAGAAAACCCAGTTTTGGGTTTCATCAGCACAACTACCCTAGAGTATTTTCAGTCACTTTGGGGAGTATAAGCAGGTTTGTTTTTCTTTTAAATGGTGAACTTGCTAAGACTGTACACATTTGATTTTTAAATTACTTTTGAAAAAGCTATTCACAAATAAAGTGAAAGATCAGGTCAAATAACCTGTCATTCCTGCCTGTATTCATGGCTCTAATTGTAGTAAAATTTGGACTGTTGTTGTCCTGGGTAATTGCTGAAAAGATGCCATATGCACAGTGGATGGGTAGGGCTTTATTTTTGTAGCATTGTTAATGGCAACTTATGTACTTGGAAGAGCTCTAATCAGACTCTTAGACACTGAGGTTAGCTAAAGAGGAATTTTTCAGCGAGTGGGAGTAGAACAGAGGTTGCTTTGACCGAGAGAAAGTGAATTGCACAATGCAGAGGAGATTAAACACCCCAACAACTTTTTATTTTCCTTTGATTTATGTGTGCTTATCTGCTGTTTCCTTCTTCTCTGTACATGGTTTGTAAGTATTATTTGTATTTTTAGACCCATAGCCCACATTTGGCATTATATCCAGTCTTCTTCTTCTGTTGGTATCCTTTGTTGGCTTAAATCTCAGAAGTTACTGATATGAATTTTCCAAAGTTATGCATATGTGCAGTTATGATTATTGGTTCAGAAATGCTACTGTTAATCCCAACATTGTGTTTATAGAAATGTTTTTTAATCCAGTGTATTTTATGTGCCTAGCACGGTTACTGTGTATGTATCAGACACACAGCCCTTTGTCATGTGAATATTATGCCTTCAGTTTAAGATATTCACCAAAAATTAAAAAACAAACAAAAAAACCCAAACTCACTGCTATCTAGTTGGTCCTGACTCATAGCGACCCCTCCTTGGGTTTCTGAGGTAGTATCTCTATGGAAGTAGATTGCCCAGTCTTCCTTCTGAGGAGTGGCTGGTGGGTTTGAACTACTACCCTTCTGGTTAGTGGTCAAATGCCTTAGGCACTGCGCTACGAGGGCTCCCATTTACATACCACAAAGCAGTCATGTCATGCTTTAAAGGGGACCCTGTCTGACTCCCTAAATACAGCTAACCAATGCCTATTTGTTTGGGACTTTCCAGAGGCCATTTCTCCAGGCATGTATCTTTGAATCCTCTCTCACTGATGAGTTTCAACTGTGAATTGAGGAGCTATAGGAAATCACATCTGCCTCAAACCTGGGAGACAGCATGTAGCTGTGACTTCAGAGCACAGACCCTGGACTTAGGACACCTGGTTCTGTCCAGGCTTTGCTCTTATTCATTAGCTATGTCACTTGAACAAGAATCTTACTCAGTCTGGGCCACTGTGGTTACCTGAATGTGTGTGTGTTGGGGGAGGTTGTCAGTTGAGATGGAAAGTATCTTCTATTGCTGATAACTGGGAGCTCTGGTAGCATAGCACATAAGGTAACAACAACAACAACATTGCTGATAACTGAGATCTCTTAGCATTGGATCAATACCTGTGGGTGGAATCTCTCCCCTGCCTTTTATTTGCTTTTTTTTTTTTTTTTTTTTTTGGTGCTTTTAAAAGGAGCTCCCCTACCCTCTTTTTTTAGGCTCATTCCACTGCAAATGACTTTCATTTTGTTTTTCCCAAAACCATTTCAGTCTTTGTTCCCTTTAGATGAATTTTAATTAAAATCTGCTTTTCTTCTGACAAATGTTGAAGTACAAATAGCAGTACAGCTTTAACCCCATGGCAGTGGAATCACCAGTCGGGACTTAAGTAGTAGAAACTTTTTTAGTTGAGATATGAAAATCTAGCCAATGTAAAACAA